CCCCCCCCCCAGATCCGAAGCGCAGTGAATTTGCACCCTCCATCTGTGCGACGTCGCGCCTCGCGCTCACTGCGCACGGGGCCCCGCAACCCCCGAGCTTCACTCTTACCTGGTTTGCTTCTGCTCTGTTGGTGTCTTACAGCTAGCATCCCTGTGCCTCATCCGGACGTTGGGCCCCTAATGCACCCGCCCTCAGAGTGGCGGCCAGCTCATCTTAACCCTTTATATCATTGCGTGTGTGTCCCGCCAGGGTGTTGAGGCGGCCAACCTGACAGCGCCACTGTTCAACGAGTCAACAGCGTGGACCATCTTCGCCCCGACTGACGCGGTGGGCAGCTATTCACTCCGGGGGGCGGCTGGCGTCCCGAGCGAGCCGCGTCGGGTGCTGTGTTGGCTGCCTGCGCTCGCCCTCTCAGGGGGCAGGACGGGAGGCCCGTGCAGCCTCCATTAAGGTGCTGAACAGCAGCCTCGCACCTCCCAGCCAGCGCCACAGACAACCCCAACTTGCGAGCTACTGCTGGCGGTGCGTATCCACACCACCCAGCGCAGGTGTTCGCCCCGCCCTTTGACGTGCGCCCCCCTCCCCTTTCCCCCGCGTAGGCGTTTGAGGCCCTCGCTTCCAGCCTCAACACCACCGCAGCCGCCCTGCTGACCAACACCACCCTGCTGAGCAGCGTCCTCCGCTACCACGTGGTCAGCGGAAGGCATTACTCATCCGACCTGTCGGACGCCGAGCAGCTGCCCACCCTGCTGGGCAGCAACGTGACCATCTCCAAGCCGCCAGCAAGTGAGTGGGCTCGACCGCGCGCTTTGTGCCGCGTTGGCGTGCCATGCAGTGCGGGCGCTGGTGGGGAAGTTATGGGCGTTCAGGCCCGCGCACCCTTCATGTGGTGAGACTGGCGGCCTTATGGAGCTGCGTGGCCCGGCAAGGGCCTGAGGTTAATGCCAGACGGAGGCGGCATCCGTCCTCGAGAGGTGGTTGACTTTGTGTTGCGCTCACGTACCTGGTATGAGCATGGGCGCGGGCGACGAGCGCCCGTGCATGTGCCTGTGCATGTGCATGCGCTAAGCATGCCGGAGCATTGACCCATCCCCTGTCCCCCCTTGTCTCGTGCATGCGCGCCGTGCTGCTTCCTTCGCAAGCCCCGCACCTGTTCGCAGTGTTCAACCCGAACCCGGTGCCCCCCGCGCCGCCAGCCGCCGAGGTTGTGATCCGCGACATCTCAGCTGGCCAGGTGTGTGGGATTACATTTGTGTGTGGGGGTGGGGAGTGACGAGCTCGCCAACTCCTAGAGTGAAGGCTGTGGTCAGCTTTGGTTTGTTTTCGTGGCCGAAATCCTCTTGGACTGCGCGCACACGCACAAGCATGCACCTGGAGCGTCTCTAATGGGTGCCGCAGTGGCTGTGATGGGCCCCGCGAGTCAGACGGTTGCTGCCACACTTATCTGGCTGTCCCCGAGCCACCGCTTGCTCAAGACGGCCACCACCACCACCACCAATGCGGGCCGCCTGCCTGACGCCGATGCCTTTCCATCCGGCGTGCCGGCTGCCTTCAGAGCGTCATCCACATCATTAACCGAGTCCTGACGCCATAAGGCCTCGTCGTGCGCAGCACGGGTTGGGCGCATCCGGGCGCCGGAGCTTTCGGCTCCCCCAAAGGCACGCAGCAAGGCCGTCCGCGATGGAGAAAACACTGGAGCAGACATTACCAGCCACGGCTTATTGAACAGTGCCTGGGGTTGCGAGACCAAGTGGATCTTGCTGTTGCTTCTTGGAAGTTGTGCTTGTAGTGTAAGATGGAGGTGTGGTCAAAGAGCTCTCCTGTCAACCAGATGATTGTACTTGTGTCGCGCATTCTTGAGGCACCGGGGGGTCGCCGGTATCTCGGGCGTGCATGCCCCTGCTCACGCCATATACGCAGCTTGGCGGCCAGTCTGGGTCAGCAACGCCATCCCAAGCGCTGGCTTGACTGGAGGCGTAGACTAGGGCGACAGGCAACCGGGCGACAGATAGAACCGTGGCGCAGGGATAGTCGAGTCAACGGTCAACGTGTGTGAGTACAAGCCCTCGCATTGGCTATACGGTATATGTCATCGACGGAAGGCTGACATCTCTCAAACTTGATTAGAAGCATCATGCCATGCACTCACTGCACCTTGCTGACAAAGCGCGCAGGAGGGCCCCCTTGGCCGCCCATGCGGACCAGCCCCCAATGCAGGGCGAAACCGCATTATACTGGTCCATAATCTGCTGGGGCGAGCTACCATGGGCTCTTTTGATTTCTAGTTTGCCGGCTCTGCGAGTCCTACCGTACTTTTTGAGCAGCAGTCCGTCTCTTCTAGATCACTTTTGCCGCAGGTCCGGCATCTGACTCTCCCACCTCGTCGTGGGTCAAAAAGCTTTTAATTTGGTGGTGGCAGCAGCTGTGGACAGCATGGCCAAGGATCCGAACTTCAGGACGCAGCAGGAGAAGATAGATGCCATGACCATGGAAATCAAGGTGTTAGGGGCGTGGCTTCGCATGCATGCTCGCATGACGCGGGCCTGGGGACCTGTGCTGGCACGTCGAGGCTCTTCGGCCGGAGCGCCGTGTTCCAGCCATGCCTGCATGGCCCTGCAGCCCGAAGAGCCGCATTGGCCTGATCATGGGGCCCCGACAGCTCCGTGAACCGTCGGTACGCTCGTTCTCGCCAAAGCGCGGCAGAACCAGATCCGTTGGCTTCCAACCCATCCGTCTCGCCCCAGGTGCCGGTGTTGGGCAGTGGTTACATCCAGCTGCCGCCTCAGAAGCGCTTTGAGAAGCCCCTGGTCATGCAGCCGCCCACCGTGGCGGTGAGGTTCCGTGCGCCGCCGCCCCGCCGCGTCTAGTCGGCGCGCCTTACTCAAGCCTCCTCAGTCCGTCTGGCGCAGCAGTGCAGTCCTCACCACGCACCTGCTGCTTTCTCTGCAATCCCGCATGCAGCTGGCAAATATGAGTGCATGACACCGGTTCTACGGCGCGCCCCTCGCATTCAAACAGTTCCGCTGACGCCTTGCCCCTTGCTGCCCCCTGCATGCAGCACCTGGAGCACCCCGAGGAGTACTCCAACTACAGGCCCGGCCAGGTGCAGCCGGTGCCTGGCCACCAGCAGGC